GGGCATCTGGAGTGAGGCAGAGTGCTATGATCTGAATGTATGCATCCCTTGAAATTCATATATTGAAATTCAATCTCCAAAGGACTAATATTAAGAGGTGGGGCATTGGGAGGTGATTCGGGCAGGGAGGCTCTGCCCTCATGACTGTGATTAGGGCCTTTATAAAAGAGGCCAGAAGGAGCTTGTAGCCCTTTTCGCCCTTCCATTGTGTCTTTCTACATAGAAGGAATTATCTGTGAGGAATAGGCCCTCACCAGACACGAAATCTGCTGGCGCCTTGATCTTGGACTTCCCAGCCATCAGAACTGTGAGGCATACATTTCTATTGATAAATTACCAGGTCTAAGGAATTTTGTTATAGCAGCCTGAACAGACTAAGAAAGAATATAAGAAATTATGTCATTGTTACTCCGTATCTCTCTACTGTGTCTCCAGGCACTGTGCCTATGCTGTTCTCTGGAGTATTTTCTCAGCCCATAGAATGAATATTTCTCTCCTCTAATACATTGGAAATTGTGGGACAAGGACTGTATATTTTACTTCTTTTGCACCATTGGTGCTTAAATAAATATACACTAAATAAATGAATGAATAAATAAACAAACTTACAAATGTCTTGCTTTAATTCTCCCATTCACATTTATCATGTAGACAAAACAGTAGCGACTTGTTCTCTCTGTCCAATTACTTGGTTGATCGAGACTGTAAGCTGTGACCTCAGAGACTACCACAGTCTTGTTTACTGACACTTTTTCAGAGTCAATCATGGTGGCTAGCCTATGGAAGTGCCTAGAAATGTATGTGGAATTAATGACTAAAGCCACAATTTCACAGCCAAAGAATCATGTATATATGTATCTATATAATATGTGTATGTGTAATTTTAAAAAGTCAAATTCAAAAGTTAACTTGACCTCATCTTGATTAACTGAGATTACAACATTAGCAGAAATATGTCCGCATTCTGTTTAGGCCTCCAGACACTACTATTTCCAGGACTATACCATCCCCACCTTAACAAGCCCCACCCCACTGTGACAACATGTGGATTGTCATCTATGAAGACCTATCTCCACCTTGTATGCCTAGCAACCAGGGCATTAAAACATAAATGGTGTAAATAATGTAGTCACGATTTCATCACAATACAACATTCCTTATAAGGACAGAGGTATGTTTATGGCCACATGAGCTAGACCTTTGCCCTGAGAAATAGTATTAATGCCTAGAGTCAATTGATTTTCTTACTTCCTACATTGCTTGTTGTAATTTCCAAGATGGCATATTTATGAACACTGAGTGTTACATTGGGAATTGTATTTTTTCATCTGTATTACGTTGCTTAGGAACATTGCCATAAATTTCAAATTTGTGCATCTAAAACATATTACAAATAAGATGTATGCTATTCACATTCAACCTTAATATATATTACACTATCAGTGAATTAGCCAATAGCACACTGGAAAGATTTTTGGGGATAATTCACCCATAAGATCAAGAGTAGAAAAGGAGGCAAATCCTAGTCCAATTTAGCAGCATAGCAATGATTTTTACAGAAACTTTGACAGGGCTCCGAGACTAAATAATCAGCATTTCCATCACTGCTGAAGATAGCCTGTTTGGTACAAAACATGTGGGTACTTAGACATCATGAATTACTTATTGTTGGAGACCTTCTCAGGGGGAGAGGATAATTTCTTACGCCAAAAGGTGGAGAAGGCAGAAAGAAGTGTTCAATTTTGAAGATTTTGCTAATAATATAGATGGTCCCCAACTTACAATGGTTGGACTCATGATTTTTTAACTTCTCAGAATGGGTGAAAGCAATATACATTCAGTAGAAATTGTACTTCGAATTTTGAATTTTGATATTTTCCTGGGCTAGAGATATGTAGTCCAATACCCCTTTTTGATGCTGGGCTGCAGCAGCTCTGGTCAGCCACTGATCAGGAGGTAAACAACTGATACTATGCAGTGTCCTGCTGCGAGATCATTTTGCCCAACTGTAGGCTAATGTGTTCTCAGCACATTTAAGGGAGGTGAGACTAAACTATGATATTCAGCAGGTTAGGTGTAATAAATGCGTTTCTACTTTCCATATTTTCAATTTATGATGGGTTTGTTGGGACATAACTCGCCATCACAAGCTGAAGAGCATCTGTACACAGAAAACAAAGGGTTTCCGCTATAGACTGAGGGGAAGTAATGACCACAAAATAATTACATTTCATTAACAAAGAAGAGTTAATGAAATGAGACCTTGTAAAAGCAGTTAGAACATTGTCAGATAAGCGAGTCTTGAAAGCCAAAGCAAAGGATAATGAGATAATGAAAATATAACTGTATAGAAGTCTTGTGAGTCTGAAAAATGCAGTAGAGGCTGAATTCATCTGGCAGACAAAGAAAAAGCTCAGTAGATCCTGCTCTTTCTACACTGGCAGGCACAAATGCTCCCTTCACTCCAGATTTTCAGGAGCTGTGAAATTCCTGTATTCTCCCACTTCTGTTTCAGTGATTTTTGACAGCATTGAAAAAGTTTCTAGTAGATATAATTTATATCATTTCAGCAGTTACTGTTGCTTGACATACATTTCCGTACTTCTAAAAGACATTCTTGTTTTCTTTCCTTCCTACCAGTCTCTTTCACTAGTTTTTCCTTTATAACTGCATACTCATAATGTGTGGATGCTCCCCTAGGTTTTTCTTCTTCCCTTGTTTTCTTGATCATACTCTTACCTTGGGCTGCCTCTTTTAGTTCCATGGCTTTGAATGACAGTGTATCCTGGTGATTGTTAAAATCACAGTTATAGTTCTGATTTCTTTCACTAATAAATCAGTATTTCCAGCTGCCTGCTAGATAGGGCACACAGGCGTCTGCCTACTTCTTATGACTTTGGTTTGTTGTATTTCTCCTGAAGCTGATTCTTCCTTTTGCATTTTCTATTTTGTTTTTGAGCATCCCCATACTGCTAGGCCTTTTACCTATCTTAAAATAATTTCCTAAATTTCTGCTCTCTGATACCCCATTTGGTTGATCCTATTAACCATGTCTGTTTGGTTAGGCCACTTCATCCCTCCAATTCCCGCTGCTGCTTTTCTGATTCATATCTCATCATAGCCCAGTGAAACATTTAACAGGCTTTCTTGCTGCCCTCTGTTCATTCACTGATTCATTAATTCAGTAAATCTTTATTGAATGTCAATGATGTACCAGGTATTATTCTAAGCACTTGATATGATATATTGCTGTGAGCAGAACAGACAAAAAAATCATTAAGAAGAGCTTATGCTATAGTGGATGTGGGCAACAACAAAAAAGACAAGTCAATTCACAATATGTTAGAGAATGATGAGGAATGTGGAGAAAATAAAGCAAGGCAGGATGGAGAAGGAGTGTCTGGGGACAAAGATTGTTATGCTGCTTATGCTCAGTGAAAACTATTGAATAGGTAGGCTTCAACCAGAGACTGCAAAGGAAGTGAGAGAGTAAACTGTGCATGTACTTGGGGCAATAGCAGAGTTAGGGGCAGGCTTAATGCACTCATGATTCAGCTCTAATTCCCAAAGCAAGCTGGCCAAGATGGCTGGAGTGAAGTGAAGGAGGTGTAAGAGGAGAGGGCTTACCTGTTTATTCTGAGCAAGATAGGACACTATTCTACTTATCAAATAATCATATAATTCCACACCTTGCTATATGTATTATATAAACTCATTTAAACCTCATAACAAACTTAGGAGATGGTTACTTGTTATCTCCATTTTACAGATGAGAAACTGAAGCATCTGTAAAGGAGTGAGGGAGCTGAGATTTGAGCCAAAGCTGTCAGGTCTGTGCCCTTAGCAACTACACTATGCTCTTGCAGGGATTTAAGCATAGATACAGGGTAATCCAACTTAACAAATAACTGGATTCTCTGTGGATGATATATTGCAAGGCAAAGGCAGGGGAATTTAGAATACTATTCTAATAATTAAGGTGAATAATGATGGTGGCTTGAACTAGGGTGATAGCAGTAGACATTGGAGAAAGGTTAATCTGGGATATACTTTAAAAAATAGAGCTGATTTGGTTTCTTGACAGTTTCTATGTATAGAGTATAAGAGGAAGAGAAAAATTCAAAATGATTCCAAGTTTTGTGGTTTGAGCAACTGAAAAGGTAGAATTGACATTATTGAGATGGGAAGGTGGGGTTGCAAAAGAGAAGTATATTTGGGCCAGAGTGTGGGCCATCAATTGTAAATTTGGCTTTAGACTTGTTAAATTTGAGATGTCTATAGAAGTTTAAATGCACATATTGACTAGTCAGTGGGAGATATAATTCTGGGATTTGGGGAGAAGCTACAGTTGGAGATATAAATCTGGGAGTGTCAGTTATGGCCCTGGATGATACCACCCAGGGAGTGATTACAGATGAAGAAGTAGAAGAGGTTTAAGGATCAAGCCCTGAGGAAACTCCCAAATTTAAAGATCAGGAGCTGAAGAAGAAGAGATAAAGGAGGAGTGGGAAAGAACTAAGAGAGGGTGGTATTCTGGGAGCAAAGGAAGTCAGTGTCCTAAAGAGGGAAGAATCAGTTATGTCAACGCCGCTAATAGACTGAATAAGATGAGAATGTTAGGTTTAGGAATGTGGAGGTCATTTGTGACCAAAAGCTATTTTGGTAGACTGGTAGGCATGAAAATTTAATTGGAGTAGGTTCAAGAGAGAGCAAACGTAGAGGAATCTGAGAAAGCAAGTGTAGAGGACTATTTTGAGGAGTTTTGCTGTAGCAGAGAAATAGTGTAGTAACTAGAAGGAATGTTAGGTAGAATTTCTCAGAATCGCAGCTTGAGATAGAGATTTGGGTGAATGGGATTTATAGAGGAATGCTGTGGGATGAAGGAGTAGAGGAAGCAGGAGAGGGGAAGGGATGTTGCTAATGAGGGATGTGTTCTTAGCTGGGGTCTGCTTTAGCTCCATCCCACAGGAGTTTGAATTGTACCATGAAGTTATTCCTACCTTGAAGCCAAGGGCTAGACCTCTGCGCTCCCATGCCAGCAAGTTATGAGTTGTGAGCTGTCTCCAGTTGGGAATGTGTAAATGATTGATTGGCCCAGGCTGCTTCCATTTGGCCAAGGGCAATTCTTTGAAGACAGGAACATCTTGCGATGCCCACCAACCTGCTACAAAACAGATATAGGAGAGAAGCCAACAGTATTCACTATGGCAGTGAATGGAGTTTAGTTTAAGTTGGGCAGTATTATGGTGTGTTTCTCTTGGGTGGGAAAGGCCTAGTTGAGAAGGAACAATTAATACTTCATAAGAAAGAAAATCAATTTCACCATTACAATTTATCCTTTAACTAGTAACCATAAATCCATATCAAGCAATACAAGATATTCTGAAACATCATAATTGTAATAAAATCTAAAATGTCAAAAATGCTAGACAGATTAAAAAAAAACTTTAAAAATACATAGCTAAACATGGACATTTCGGAGGCCAAACAAGCATGCCATTTACTAATTCACTTTCCTTGAACAACTTAATTTACTTTTCTGTGCCTTAGCTTTTTCATCTAATATGGAATACTAGGAATAGTACTTACATGATAGGATGTTGGCAACATTTCTATGAGAGAATATATAAAAAATACCCAAAAGCAAATACCCAAAAGCACTTCCTGCTTTCCTCCTCCTTTTCCTTGTCTCAGTAGCTTAACTTCCATCATGTGCCTCTTGCGCTCTTTTCTTCATCATTATTGAAAGACTTGTCATCCTCTGTCCATATCGCACTATTTAAAGCTTCCCTGTCTTTTTGGATGTGCTTGCTTTACTGAAATATACATGCCCCACCTTGCTCAGTTTTTCCTGTATCCTTTTGCTTCTCATTCAAAATACTGCTCAGATATCACTTTCTAATCCTTCCTTATTTACTTCCAGAGTTACTTGCTTTTTGCCCTGTATGTTCCTTCATTTCTTGTATTTAATATACTTTCTGTAATGCATTCTACTCATTTAATAGTATTGAGTGTTCCAGGTTCTAATCTAGTTCCTGTATGCCATACAGATATATTGTAATGAATTGTAATTACTTGCTTAGATGTCCTATCACATCATCTGTGATGTCAACTCCCAGACTTGCAGAGACCAGGCTTATCATTGTGACCTCAATGCCTACTCAGTGTATGGGTCTGTATGTGACCTATTTGGAACTGTTTGCCACCAGACACTTGGATGGGCACTTTTACCTGTGCTTCTAAGCTGTAGCTAAGCCGCTGCTTACTACATATCTTAAAGTAGTACTATTCTCATTGCAGGTTTTTCTTTGGAATAGAGTATTAGGAATAACGAATCTAAATTTGTATTAATTTCCAATTCAGAAAAGAATATATTCAGTGGTAGAGTGAGGGGACTTGGTTAAGCATGATTGGCAAGTTTAAATTGGGTAAAAATACAATACAATGAATAGCTACAGAGACTTAAGTCAGTATTTCTTATGACCAGTAATAATAAATGAAATCAGGTTGTTTTAAAATGCAAGGTTTTTTTTTTCTCCTTTTCAATGATTTGGTATGATTATTGAAGATGGCAGCTAAGAAAATTTGTTGAGGCCACGGACTCATAAATGCCTGGGTCCTACCCCTATTTGCTTCTTGTTTCTGAATTGTTGTACAAGGATATAAGGAAAGAGGAATAAAATAAGGTAGAACATTTTTTCAACCTCTGGTGGCTTTGGCTCTGAACCTCAGGTAGAACTTGTGGTACAGCAGCTTGATAAGGCAAGACTGGACCCCATGAGGAATGTCTTCTTCCTTCACGGAGTTGGCCTCAGAGGCCCGAAACCAACATAAGTTGAGACTGCATAGGAGAAGAAGATGTTTTCACTAAAATCTACAGCAGAGCTTAGATGGTTACCTGTTCTCAAGTCTTTCTGGGAATGAGGAGAGAGATGGCAGAAAAACGGAAAAAGCTCAGAGCCATTTTACCATGTGGAACGAGAAAAGGAAGGGAGAGGGAGAAAAAGGGGAAAGGAGGGAGAAAAAGGGGAAAGGAGAGAGAAAAAAAGGGGAGAGGAGAGAGAAAAAGGGGAGAGGAGAGAGAAAAAGGGGAGAGGAGAGAGAAAAAGGGGAGAGGAGAGAGAAAAGGGGGAGATGAGAGAGAAAAAGGGGAGAGGAGAGAGAGAAAAAGGGGAGAGGCGAGAGAGGTTTAGTGAGAGGAAGAAGAGTAGCAGCCAGCATTTGTTAAGAGCTTACCATGAGTTAAGCCTTGTTCTTGGTGCTTTATGTATTAATTCTTTTAAAACTTGATTAAGTTTTTTTCTTTTAAATTTTCTTTTATTGAGCTTTTACTTCTGTGAGGTAAGTACTGTTATTTACCTTCTTCTGCATATGCGGAAACTGAGGTACAGAATGATTAAGTGACTTGCTCAAGGTCACTCAACAAATCAATGTCAAAGAACTTAACCAATCATAAAAGAGCTTCCTCTTGTTGGGGTGGGGGGTGGGAAAGGGATGGACAGGAACCTTGACACTTGTTCTGAAATTGCTATCTGCTAGAGATGAATCAGAAAGGAGAATGATCTATACAACTGATGATGCATCTTTATAGAATATAACTGGTAAGAAAATGAAGAGAAGAATACAGTTTGATTTAACACATATATTTCAAGCATTTCCTGTGTGCAAGGGACTGTGGTAGGTGCTGGAAGTATAAAGAAGAATAAAACATTGTCTCTGTGGCAGGAAAGCTTGTAGGAGAGACACATGTATGAAGAGCTCATCTCTGTCTAGTAGAAGTAGATGGCATGATTGGAGCACAGGGTGGAGAAGTCTACCTGGGGGTTCAGAAAAGGTTGCCAGCAAGTAATTTTGATGGAGCTGAGTTTTAAAGGAAGAGGAAAGTCACTCAGATAAAGAAAAAGGGCAGGGCATTCCAGGAAGAGGAAACAAAAGAAACAAAGCTGTGTTCCAGAATTGTGTCTGTTTGGAATGATCTACACTTGGATTTACTAAAATCTCAAAGGCAAGGAAGCAGATGATGTAGGAGGAGACTGGAGAAAGAAATGTGGCTCATATTTTAGAGATTCTGATAGGCCGTGCTAAAGAGTTAGAGGTTAGGCATGTCCTATAGACATTAAAATGTATGCTAGAGGCATGATCAAAATAATATGGTAGACTGGAGTGGAAATCAATGCAACAGAGACCAGGAGAGATCCATGCATCAGCTGTAGAAATTTAGATTATAATAAAGGTGATATTTCAAATTCATAGAGGAAAGTATAACCTATGCAATTAATAGTGTTAGGAGAATTAGTTATGGATAGATAAAAAAGGGAAAGTAAACTATTACTTTATGTCAGCCATAAAAATAAACTTCAGGTGAGTTAAGCAGCTGACCATAAAAGAAATTTGAAAGTATTTGGAGGTTATATTGGAGCACATTTTTATAGGTTTGGAGGTGAAAAAGGCCTTCTTAAACAAGACATAAGTACCAGAAGCCATAAAAGAAATGATCAACAAAAAAACCTCATAAAAATTAAAATTCATCTCTGCACAATGAAAAGCATGATAAAACTAAAAGATGAGAAAACTGTAGCATATTTAATGGATGACTGATTATTGTGTAGGATGTAAACAGAGCTTGTATAAATCACTACAAAACAGAAATATGGATAAAGGTTATAGTAGGCAATTTACAGGAGAAATACCAGAGGCCAATAAAATGATGCTCACAAAAAGATGCTCTTCAACACTAAATTAGGTAAATATGAATAAAATATACATGATAGAAAAATTTGGTGGGAATATTGAGAAACAGCCACTTTCACACATGGTTGGTGGTAGTGTAAATTAATGTGGTGTTTTTGGAAGGCAATTTGGAAGCCAAATCAATAATACACTCTTGTGGATAACTAACTACACCAACTGTCTGTGATTACCGTTTGGGAATCAAAGCACTTCTAGGTAAGCTGGCTTACCCACAGCTTCACATGAGTGGCATATGACTAAGCATGTCAGGCCCCAGTGATTGATGGTGCAGGAGTGGACATAAGACCTAAGTTAATCAAATTAGAGAGAATCTCAGGACTTTTCCTTAGAATTCAGGGTAAAAGCACTCTTTTCTTCTTGGTGGATATAGATGGGGAAACATGTTTCCTTGGAAGATGTTGGCAGCTAACTGGGATCAATGAAGTGAACTATCCATGGGAGGACAGAAGGGAAGGCAGAAGAAAAAGATGGAAAGAAATGGAGGTTCATTGGGCCAGTCCTTTTCTAAAGCAATTCCTCCCCAGAGTTTGGATCAAATGAGTCTCATATTTTCCCCTTCGCTTATACTGATCTGCCTTGAGTCTTCTATCACTTGCAGCCAAATTGACACAGGCATATGTGTTTTAACTGAGTAACGTAACTTCTATGAATTTATTGTAAGGAAATACTTGGACATATGCACTAGGATGTTTATTGTAGCATTATTTATAATACATGAAAAATTGGAAACAACCTAAATATTAACTGGAGTCATTAAATAAATTATCATAGATGCATGTATGAGACATATAGCCATAAAACAGAATGAAGTAGACCTTCTTTTACTTTTAATATACACATATTATAAGTGTATACAGATATACATACATGCTTATTATATTATATATGTAACAATATATAATATTGTTACAGTCTCCAATAAAATGATGCTCACAAAAAGATGCTCTTCAACACTAAATTAGGTAAATATGAATAAAATATAAATGATAGAAAAATTTGGTGGGAATATTGAGAAACAGCCAGTATTAATAATAAACAAACAGGAGACTGAATGGCTGCTCACCAAATAGTGATATTGACTATCTTGAGGGAGAGGAATGAGAATTGGGGAGATGTGAAGGGGAGGCTTTCATTGCTTACTCTGTTTATGTGATATTATATTTATAATTACTCAGCAATATTATATTATTAAAAAAGGGAACACTATGCTGCATTTAAAAGATGTTATGACTTGGGGGAGGACTCAAGATGGCGCTGTGAGAACAACCCAGGATTGGAGCTCTCTTTGAGTCCGTGGAGAGGTGAGTCAGAGCTGCATTTCCAGACTGATCTTTGTTGCCCACGGAACGGGGAGATTCCCAAGTATAGGGGAGACGCTGGATGCCTGGCAGTGCCTCTGCCTGGCAAAGCCGG